AGAAGCTTCCGCAAAGGCAGCCAGGCCCAGCGCTACTGAAGTAAAGCCCGAGATCTTCATGATGGAAGCACAATGCTGGCGGAGGTCGTGGAATCAAGAAACACCGATCGGCGGCCTCCATTATATAGCATTGTTTCCGTCCGATGCCTGCGTGGCTGGCATCATGATGATATTGTGTAATCGCGACTTGTTGCCTACCAGACCAGCACGTGCGAGCTAACGGCCCTCGAGACCCATCGACTTAATATCGCTCGACTTGCCAATTGGTAACATCATGGCACAGCTTCCTCCGTTCTCGGAGCGAATACCCAGGCAAAGAGAGAAAGCGAAGTAGAAAATAAAATAAGCCAGTGGTGCAGCACGTGTGTCCAATCGAGAGGTCCGACGATGCTGCAATGGCAATCGTCATCCATAGAATCAGTATTAGTAGTAATTACAGGGGGGATTATTAAATACGTGACACGAAGAAATCAAGCCTCCAAATATATATGTCAAAAAAAAAAAAAAAAAGTCCATCCGCTTCCAAATACATATGCAAAATCCAACAGCATCCAAAATATTTCCAACCCAGTACTAATTCACAGCCGAACCAAAAAAAAAAAACAAGCCAATGGCAGACGCCGAAGAAACACACCAACACGAATGCTCTGGGAATCAAACAGACAAGACCTGGGATATGAGGGAGTCCCATGGCGTAACAGCAGACAATGCGACAGGGAAAGACAGAGATAGAATTGCATACAGAGTAATGGCACAAATCACCACCGAGAGACCGTGTGTAAGCCCCCATACATGAAACCAAACGCCGAATTATTTTACTTCCCTTTTTGTTCTAATTTGCATTCCAATCGCTCGGCGTTTGATTGTTGAATGTATACGCCTTGGGTTTCTGCGGCAGTTGCTGCGCAACAAACCGATGGGCTTCCTGCTGCTCGGGGAATTCGTGAATATAGAACTCCGTCTGCTTCGCATCGCCATGGAATGACCCTGTCGATGTATGCATATCGGCATCCGTGGTATACATTAAGGGCGGTGACCCAGCAGCGGAGAGGTTATCAGCAGGTTGTCCATACGACAGAGATGGAACATCCGCCTGGGTGATTGGGACACGGCTCTGAAAGGCTGCCTCTGGTGAAGGCATCGAGTTGGCGCCTGTCCAACTCCTGCCCGTCAAAGGGGCTCCTTCACAAGTGACATAATCAGGAAACGAAGTATAATGGGCAGGCGCGGACATTGGCGGAACAACACTGTGGTATTGGTAGGTGGAAAGCATATCCATGGCCAGAGGTGTAGCGGGAGGAGAGGCAATGTTGATTTGCATGGGCTGTGTTGTGGGGAACAATTGGCTGGTGGGTTGGGCAGACAGACAGTAACCGCCATCACTAGGGGTATTTGGAAGGAAGTGATGCAGGTCATCCGGTGTCAGGGGTGTTGGTGGCGCCAGCCCGCCCGTGGTGACAGCGGGCGACAGCATCGATGACATCTCTGGCTTGGAAGTACTCAAGGTCCCGGCTTCGGCAAATGAAGACAGATTCAGAGGCGAACGCTGAGCTGCAGATGCTTTCCGAACACCTGCGTAACGTGTGTTGAGACATTGCGCTGACTTCGACTGTCTCACACCAGGTGCAGAGCCATAACTTGGTAGTCTTGTGGTCGGTGACATAGATGACGATCCTGCCAACATGGACGACGACCTCGAAGTACCGATAGCAGCAGGCCTTGGCCGCTTTCTCCGGGCCGCAAGATCAAGTTCCTTGCCAGCTTCTTTCCATGAAGACCGGTCTGTTCTGATCGGAAGTCCCGCCGCATGAATCCCGATGCCTTCAAGGGAGTCGGCGAGATCATCAGATGATCCTCGCCTTGACAATGAGCTCTCTGGGTGCAGGGTATATTGAGCTGCACTATAAGTTTCAGCATCGCTGGATGAATGATAGCTAGGGAAGGGTTTTGTCCCTTGCACCTGGCTGGACCACTCCTCATTCTGTGAAGAGTGGAACTGCAGCGTGTCGTTTTGCTGTGCATTTTGATGAGGGCCGTCTATTTGAGGGACAGTCAGCGACTCGGCGGCAGAGTAGCCAAGATGCTCTTGGGGGCTCTGAGATGCAGTCCACGACATCGCAGTCTCCTTTGTGTTTTCCCACTCGGAAAACGGAGTTGTGGAATTGCTCTGAGCAGCCTGGTTATCATCATGGTTGTTAATGCCTGAGTATGTTGTCGTCGGAGACACCGAGCCCTCATGTATGGTAGCAGGTTGACCCTGTTCATCAGGACTATAATGTTCTCGGGCAGCAACAGCGGCATTCAACGCTCGTTGCAATGAAGCAAAGGTTGCTTCCCGAGCCGACTCGCTCTTTGTTTTCTGATGCTTCGATCGTGAGTTGGAAGCAGATGCCTTGGTACGGTCATCAGACATGGTTTGATCGGATGATTGCTTCGGGGTATCCTTGTCTGTCTCTTCTTTGATATCTGGGTTCGATTCGGACTTTTCGGCATTTTCTGTCTTGATCCGTGCAGCCTCCTCAGCCTCTGTCTTCGCCTTCTGCATCCTTTCGAACTCTTCCTGTCGCTTCTGCTGCTTGGCCTTTGCGCGTCTATTTTGGAACCAGTTCTGTAAGAAGCATTAGCTTAGGTTAAGAGGCGCTAAATGTAGAGTGGGGAATCACTAACAGCAACCCGAGGAAGGCTAAGGTTCGTTTGAGCGGCCAATTGACGCTTTACATTGCTGCTGGGTTTCGGGTGAGCCTGGAACTGGGCCTCTAGGGTCTCAACTTGTTCCTTAGTCAACCGTGGACGAGACAAGTTCTCTGCATATTCCTCGTAGTCCATGATGGGCTGATGGTAGAAGTCGATCATGTCAAAAGGTGGGTGGGGATAGATGTAGCCGTCCATTGGGTGCATCATGGACGGGTGTGCCATTGTCGGATCATAGCCAATGGGCTGTTCCATGGGGACCGCAGCATGACCAGCATACGCGTATGGATGGTGGAGATAATTCATGGTTGCGGTGGTTGGCGTGTGAGGGTAATAGGAGGAGGGAGAGAGGATGAGGGAAGGGTATATTAAGACTGGACCTGTTACTGCACAAGATAGCGGCAACTCTCGATAGGTAACGGTTCTAGATCATTGAACAATTGGATCACAAGAGGAAGTATGAGTGGTTGGATTAAGAATGACTTCTTTGAGGGGGAGGAGAGATAAGCTCTTTTATAAAAGGATGAAAGGAAGGGTTGGGTGGAATGAGAGATTGACAGGTTGTTGCTGGGTATAGTTGCGGTGGTATACAACACAGCAGCAGACCGGATGGATTAAGACAGAGAGGGAGAGGATTAATGAATGTACTGAGTCGGACAGCGGTACTAATAAGCAGATATCAGAATAGGGAAAGGGAAGGAACGACTAAGCAGATCGAGAATGAAAGCAAGAAATAGTAAAAAAAGAAAATATAGAAAAGAGGGGACAAAAGAGGAAAAGGAGAGAATGAGGAAAGAAAGTAGAGTCTGAGTGAGAGAAAGACTGAAAAAGACAAAAAGGGCTCGAAAAAATTAGAAAATCGAAAATCGAAAATCGAAAATCAAAAAAAGAAAAAGGAAAAAAAGAAAAGAAGAGAAAAAAAAAATCCCAGATGATTGACACCAGTCACTGGGGACTGAGGAATTGGGGGGGTGGAAAGGGAAAGGGAAGTGGTGTGGATATCGGCGGATGGAGAGATTGGCAGCGGCTGCCTGGGAAAAGCAAAAGGTGTGGAGGGCCCAATTGTGATTGGAAGATCACCGAGCGGGACCTGAGAGAGGTTTCGAAGCGGTTTGGTATCAATGCCGTATTTACCGTCAGCATGGGTGACCGGGGGGAATCAGCGCTTCAGCCGTCCTCGCAGCTTCCCGATTTTAGCTTAATTGTTCTGGGCTATTCCCAGGTATGCACGATAAACCCAATCGCTTTGGATTAGTAAACCCAGTGCTAAGATAGAATTAAAAAAAAAAATCAAATGAAGAATAACCAAAAAAGAAGAGGAAGTTCACGGATTTCTCTCTGCAGACAATTCGTCTAGATGAAATGACATCCTTCCCCCTGAACTTATTATTATCATCTACCTTATCTGGGAACGCATCCATGGTAGCGATCTTAGGTACCCTCCCACAGTGGTAGAGTTGGTTGGTTACCACTGTATGGGAGTACGGACAGTATCAGGTACGGTACCAAACCGAAAGGCACCGACCACCAAAATAATGGCCGAAAGTGGGTTTGTGGTGGTGCCGCTTCGCGAGGTTCTAGGGGGTGGCGGCCTTGGGCTCTTTTCCGGTGTCTCGCTCTCTCTCTCTCTCTCTCTCTCTCTTACAAACTAGCTTGGCAGCCAGGGCTTAAAATAACTCAAAAGGGCATTGAATAAACCTAATACTTAAAATGGGGTAAATAAAAACATACAGTAATCGTCACTACAAGTATTATCATTATGGAAGTAGAACATCATGGTGCTAAGTACATACATGCATAGGTACATACATATGTTATGTAGGTACGTAGCTCTGGACGTGCATCTATTACAGACCCTCATTAGGCAGTGGCACTGTGGCGGTGACCGCGACAGTCTCAGGCAGATGTTCGTGTATGCCGAGCGACAGGCCCATACTGACTGTATCGTCCTGTGAAGTTTACTTTTTTTTTCTTTCTTTTTTTTTCCTGCACCATCCATGTCGCATTCCTAGGGCTTCTAGCTGATAGTAGAAAATTAAGAATCGATTGACTATTGTTGTATCTAATAAGGCTTCTTCCTTGGTACTTTTTGTCTCCTCACATCCGTAGTTGTTTCCGATGTTCCAGTCATCCCGTCTGAGTTTGTAGATGTACAGTTGTAATCCGATACAATGGATATAATTGGTGGAAGACGGCTAAGTTCAGTACGGGATCTTTCCCGCGACACACCCAAAGTTTAAAAAGGGGGGAAAGAGCCGAAAAGAAAATCAGAAAACAGAAAAAACAAAAAGAGAAAAAAAGCCAAGGAGCACAACTGATGCGATTTTAAGCTTGAGTGACCGTAACTCCTACAGGTGGTGACACTGTCGGCATCCAATCTCACGGGTGTCACCATAATTATGATTCAAAGTGAAACTGGTAACTCCGTCAGTACTCCCATTACTAGCAAGAGCTTCGTCAGTTCCTGCATTAGCGTCATAGCCCAGGGACCAGACAATTTAGCTTTACCTAGGGGGGCGGGGTCCCATATGGGAATTTGGAAGATCCCGTGAAGCAGAGATATGGGCCCCGAAACAATGCTAAAACAAACCGTCGCCAATAGTGAAGTTGTCCGTTGATATGATGGAGTATACATGCTATCTACTCCCTACAAGGGTGTGATGATTTTCCACCCAGTTCTCCCACACTGCATTGCCAGAGCGAAATCGTGTCAGAGGGCGCATTAGGTATGTGTGGGGAGTGGGTCATACCCCCAATCCCCATCCAATCAAGCCAAAACGAACATGAAGCTCGCCTGGAAGTCTCCCGAGATCCATCGATGTGCCTGCAATGTCGCCCAATGATGGCCTTGCCTGAGGCCAAGATTCAATCACGGGGTCAAGGGTCATCGGGGTCCATCCGTGGGATTCTGGTCATCGGATTCGCTGAAGATCCCTGGAGCCCGTCCGGAAGTTCTGGGTTGGGTTTAGCGGTGACGGACCGCTTGACTCCCAAGGTTCTCTCTGCCAAACTCCGATATTAACCAGGTTACTTGTTGGTTTGCAGTATATTCACTGGGGGCATCTACGTCAAACCACCCCTAATATGAAACCCAAAATAAGCAGTTCAGGTCAAGTTTGCTACAGACTTAAAAAACCATCCGTGAAACCTGCTCATCGTCACTGGTTTTCCTTTGCTTTTTCTTTTCTACTTCATCCCCAGCACCTGAGGTCAGGTGGAGGAGGATTTCCTTCGGTTAGCCAAAAGAGGGGAAGCCCAAAGGCGAAGCACTTGGGCAGAGCAGTGGCGACAGTATGGAGTGCTAAGGGACCCTCACTGCACAGAGCACGCTACTGAGGTGTTTTTTTATTATTATTTTGATCCATTCGTGTACGGATACCGAGTGCATACGTACACCCGCAACAGTTAGCACGGATCTCCAGATGCGCCTGTCATCGTTTCCCACAAAGTTCATGGGACAGAGAATCATCCAGTTGGTCTAAGGGAAATCTAAAAAAGAGTGGGAAAAGCGTGGCAGCACTCAGGCCAAGACCCACTAAAATCAATAGTCTACAGATCCCGTCGATCACCACAAGGATCTGCTCGATTGTCGAATGAAAGCCCGCGACTCACTTATCTCCTTCCTTTTCCTTTCAAAGCCCTACGGGAAAAGCGTGACAGGGCCTGACTTTTCAGTCTTGACATTGGCAGATGCCTGGAAGCACAGGAGAGGGAGCGTTCATAGTTGGACTCCACCACTGGGGCCATTTCCGGGTTCCTGGTTTCTGTCAATCAGCCATGCTCCCCGAAAAGCCGCTAATCATGATGCAATCCGAACCGCCCACGCCAAGTCACGAGGTTACGCAACAGCAGTTCCAAACGCATTGCCATGCATATGGAGGGGAACCAGACCATGCTAGGGGGAAGACGAACGGAGCGGTTCGGTGCTATCATATGTGCTGCCCTTTTCCCACTGGTTTTCCCATTTACCCAGCAACCGTCACTACCTGAGCGGTTAATGCATGCTTCGGTTTTCCTGGGGATACGTTCATCCCACTTCCCTTTTTTTTTTGTTTCGGCTAAGTACTCCGTAGTGTGACAGCAACTCAACGTCTATGATTTGCAAGTTCCGGCACTGCGGTACCGGACCCGAAATTTCCAGACGATCCTCGTCAGGCTCTCGAAAGAGGGGGCGTTGGTGGAACCGAGAGAAAGGGGGCGTAATGAACTATTCTACACAGTTCTCAGGTCGTAATGGTAAGCCAAATTGAATTCTAAGGCAAAAGTACCATTGCACAGTCTTACGGGACTCTGTACATACATACAGACATACATCACGGCTCGTGATTAACCGAAGCCCTTGCGACTGGAGCAGGGATCATGGCTGTTCATCGATGCGAACACCTGAAAGAGATCTCCATCGTTCACGTGTATGTAGTGCGGGACCTAATTGAGCTTGAGAGCTCTGGAGTACTCCATAATCACCCATACAATAGATACCCAACGCGAAGGTATCACGGACCCATTGTGTATCCATTTAGTACACTGTGCTAATACTATAGTCAATGGCTAGCACTGGGATCGGGACAAATAAATGTCATACTCCAAGCCCAGACCAATTAGCAATCATTGTGGTTCGCCCCCAGCATCTTCCTCTATCACCTCTCCAAATGCTTGGAAACTTCGGAGCCGAGCATTGTGGGTAAAAAAAAAAAAAAAAAGAGAAAAAGAGAAAAAAAGAGATCTCGCTGGAGGTCCTTTGCCTGACCCCTGCGACGATCCGCAAGCAACCGCACGGATCGCTTCCAAGTGATTTTCAGACAGGTGGGCTCTGTGACGAGCCGTTGTCACCCGATGTAGGGATCTCAAATATTGGCCCCCTTTAGAAGAAATTCGCCGAAGACATCGGTGTATCAATGTGGCTGTCAAGGATGGAAATTGAGGAAGCTGGTGGGTGCACAAAACTGTGCTGCCCCTGAAGCAAGTCTGACAGTACAGAGTCACCACTCCGATAAGTGATCGACGATAGCATCGTATCCCTGCCTTTGGAATTATAAGGTTGGTCTAAACTTGCTTACATACGTACGATCCGACTCCATCCCCTTGGGTCGGATTTTACCACGCTGATTTCCCATGCGTCAATCTTAATCTCCATTACCTGATGATATGGGGTCATTGTTCACGGATGATGCAACAGCGACAATCATCACAATCACTAGACTCACTCAGGTTAGTACATACCATAGTCAACTTTAGATAGTTGACTAAGGATTACCAAACTGATAGAGATGCAGACGGAGTCTGCGGAGGAAGTATACCGTACGCGTCTTGCAGCACCACAGCCACAGGAAACTAGACTTCAGCTGCGTGGCGGTGCTCGTAATATCAGCCACAGTTGAGCCCATTTTACGTTTGTTTTTCTGTGTATTTGCTTTTTCTTGTTTTCTTTTCTTTTTTTTTCGGGTTTGTGATCTACTGCAGGGCTTTCCCATCGTCGCATCCCTGGACTTCCTGGTCTAGTCGTCTCGTCGTGCACGGATGAAGTCGAGGAGAATTTGTCAGAAGTTGTTAAATAGTGCCGATTGATATGCACCAATGAACTCCTTTCCCGGGGTCAACTCTCAAGCCACAGCGCCTTGATTTACGTTGGCTTGACTCTCTGTCCCTTCGTACGAACGCTGCTCAACGCTCAGGGCCGCTGCCGTTCGCTCTCTCTTTTTTTTCTCTTTTTATTTTCTTTTTCCTTATTCCCCCCCTTTAAACTCCCTGATACGGAGTAGTTCACTCCCGCTTAGGAGATGAGATGTTATGCTTTACGGGTAGATGCACTGCAGTACTTCGAGAAAGTCATACAGCAGTCATTCGAACGATGCGGGTCAGGAATACCCAGTTTCTGGCTCGTCTTCCAAACCGGTTAGGCACACGCCTTTACATGCTGCTGCTCTTTCCATAGAACTCTACCGGTGTGATGGATAACCCGTTTTCACGCAAAGCGTTCACATTCGTCCAAAATGTCGCAGAAAACGAATGGAGAACCAAAACCCAACATCCCGGTGGTATTCCTATCCTGTGTCTCTCTATCCCTTGCATACTGCGACGACAGTATCAGAAACAAGCTAAAGCCACAAGTACGCAGCACTGGTAGGCTCCAGTCCGTCCTAATGGACAACGCGGCGGGGATTACGCCGATCACGATCACTGTTGCTTCCAGGTTAAGGGAAGGGCGGCTGGAATTGACCTGTCTTTTTCCAGAACTCCATCGCCCTCTTCTGTAAACGAGGTGTTTGGCATGGCGTTCTCGGCCTGCAACCCAAAGTTCTTCATCTCACCCCTCGAATCTGTTCTGGAACAGCTCGTGTGGATGTGGATTGCTGCCACAATCCAGTCGTTCCCTGTTTAGCCTGGGTTGCAGTTTGATCGTTCTCTGGGCTACTTACCAAGCTTTCCCTCTTTCCTAGATCGGGTCCAGCTTGCGTTTCACGGCCACTTTGCATGCAATAGGTCTTCTTTTTCTTGCACATTTGGAGCTTATCGGAACTTGTTGAGACTCGGTTGAGCATCAGGTTGTCGGTGAGCGATGTCTAACCCTAGGACGTTTAACTTAAACATTAGCTATTCCATGATATATTACACCTGGATTCCAGAATAAGCAGGGCTTTAAGATCTGTCATGCAGGGTAGGAAGGCGGTGATGCCTCGGCAAAGATCTCTCGGTGTTTCTCGGTGTCGAGGTCACTTTTCGGAAGACTCTCCTGGATGGAGCCTGCTCCATAGTCTCCATCGTTCCGATTAGAGCCACTTCACACCGCCATCGTTCAAGGTTCGCGATGGGTCCTCTATGGATCCTCATCTACATCACGGCGTTTTCTCGCCACGCTCGCCTTCCTTAGTCGGTAGTAGTGGTACTTGCTTCTCAGAATCTCGGCCAGACTCGACTCAGCCAGCCTGGTACCGTTTCAGCCCCAGTCGTTTGGCGTTGTTTCATCTCCATTGGGAGTGCTCGAGCCGTCATTCGGTATGGAGCTACTGAGCGAATTCTGTGTGGGCATCGTACCGTCCAAGCATTAGCGCCATGCAAGGCAACTTCCTTACTTGTACATACATTTGTACATGTCATATCACTTGAACGGGTCCCGTACTTTGTCTATATACTTTGGAGTATGTGTTCTAACCTTCTATGTACAAGCAAACTAAAAGAAAAGAAGATAATGTCTACATAACCCTGGGGCCCATTGTAAAACCGGAGAAAGAAATAGGAAGGTGGAAAACCAGGCCAGTCTAGTCTATTGATCCCATATCTCCCCTTTATTGATATGCATCCCGAATCTCCAACTGAATGCGTCCGTCAACCACACCCTTGACCGAAAGACTTCTCAAGTCTTCCACAATCCAGTCTGCGCCAGCCTCTTGAAGCTGCGCCAGTGAGTGGGTCGTCGTCAGTGCGATCACCTTGAATCCCGCAGCCTTGCCTGCCTTAATGCCCGAGGGCGCATCCTCAAGCACGACTAGCGATGACGAATGTTCCAGGCCGAGGCGCTGACGGCCAAGCAGATAGCACCGCGGGTCGGGCTTGCCCTGCTCGACATCCTCTGCAACAACAAGCATTTTTGGGTGCGTGAGGTTCATGACACCTAGCCAACCATCGATGAGTGCACGCGTACCAGAGGTGACGACACCCCAGCAGGCACCGGCGTCGTCGAGCTGCGAAAGGAGGTATCTAGCGCCGGGGATTTCAACGGCATCGGAGCCATATTCTTTG